ATCGCTGCTATAAAGAAAACAAAAAGGATGGATTGCTGTCAAATTAAGTTTTGTCTATTTCAGATAATCATAATCAAGTAATAGTCATTATTATTGAATACTTGTATCAAATTACTGAATTGTGTGCTAGTCAATCATTATCTTGGGCAAAATCCGTCTAGTAAACTCATATGGATAACAGGCTGTTCAGATAGTAGACAATAGGCCTCCATTATTAACAGCGGATATTGTCTGTACACACTGATGAATTGAAACCGAGACCCGAATTCTAAATTTAAGTAGCCTAGAAACTTCGTTTTACTTAAGTTGAAATAACATACTATTCACCAGCATAGTCCTATGGGAAAAAAAGTGTTTCTAATGAAGCTTAAATTTTTAGTAAAGTTTACAGTTTCGTCTTTATGCGTGTGTTTTTACATTCAAATGAAAATACCAACTAAACAATATTGCCTATTTCATCCATAGGGAAGGCCTGTACCACAGCAGTGGGGACATTAATAGACTGATGATGATGGTGATGATGATGAACCAAACAATAGTGTAATATCGCTGTAGTCTTCTGAAAGTGAATAGCTGTAAAATTATAAGTATTAAATAATGTAGGTATAATCTTGCTGTCCATAATCTTTTGCTTTAAAAATTCTCCAGGAATTGATTTAGGAAAACCTTTGTTATTCCAATCATTTGGGAAAAGGCCAAAGAAAGTAAAAATTTGTGACATTAAACATTCATAAGACCGACAACCAGCAACTGCTACCTATGAAATCCGGGAACTAGTAAAAAAATATGCTAATAAAATGTGTCTATGTCTCAGATCAAACAAAGAGTAAAGATGGAGCGCTGGGAAAAACAACGTGGCACCGGTTTTGTATACATGTGGTGCGTTGGTCGGTGTTGCCACCATCATTCAAATTATCCTAATAATAAAGATATAGACATAAATAGCCATGTTTTAAAATTAATTACAAGAAAATTATTACCGAAAGCATATATGTATGTATACATTCTAGACTTGTTTCGTAAGAGCTTAAAAGTTCAAATAAACTGTGCAAATAAATAGGATAAGTGCTGCAAAAAAAAAATTACTGGGCATTAATTTTCAAGCAATATTTTATTTATTTGAAAAAACTTCTATTATTGATAAGATAAGACAAGAATTCTTTATTGCACAGCACAGTAACAAAACAAGCAGAAAACAAAAAAAGTAGAAAACAAAATATTTCATAAAGGGCAGTCTTATCGCTAATGAGCGTTTTCTTCTAGACAACCCAATAACCTGGAAATAAAAGAAGGTAAGAAAGTAGGAGAACTTGTGCGGAATACAAGGCAAAAGTTTTCTTGATAGTTAGATTATAAGAAGACGAAAGGGGAAAAAACAATACAATAAGAGAAATTTAATAGATAGGCGAACACAAATACTCAAATATTTCACAACGTTACCGAAACCGGTAAGTTCTAATGCAAGATTTATTAAAAATTAGGTTCCTCCGAAAAAAATTGGTCCTTAACTAGTGACTTAAACAGTCTAAATATTGGGCAAGCCTTATCTTTCCGGGCACGGAATTCCAGAGTTGATTAGCATGTACGGTAAAGGAATAGCTTTACGCCTTGGATAAGTTAGGAGGAGTGAAAAGAAGAATATTGTTACATCAGGGGTTCCCAACGTTTTATTGGTCAGGGACCACTTTTCCTTTATTTTTTTTTGGCACGGACCACTATTTAGTCACTAAATAACTAAACTTTATTTTAGTAATAAATAAATAAATATAAATATTTCCAACACTCACACCAATTAGCCTAGCCCCAAAGTAAGCACTATAAGGCTTGTGTTATGGGATACTAGGGTAACGGATAGAATACATATTCTGTACATATATAAGTATATTTTTATAGATATATATATTAACATCCATGACTGGAGTACAAATGCTCGTATTCATCACACAAACATCTGCCCCCATCGGGATTTGAACCCGGGACCTCTCGAATCGGCGACACCGTGAAACCCGGCGTGCAAACCACTCGACCACGGAGATCGTCAAATTCGTACGGAGGTCGTAATAAAAATAAACTGTAGTAATCAAACTGAAACTTTAATTAAAAATCTAATATGAAATTAAATATAAAGAAATAATAACGGGCGCGCCCGCTAAATTCAAATTCATTCGCGGACCATATTTTGGTTTCTGCGGACCACTGGTGGTCCACGGACCACTGGTTGGGAACCATTGTGTTACATGAACGTAGTGGAAGATTATGGGAGGACGAAAGAAACTGAAAACGTCCTTTGAGGTAAACAGGAGCTTTTGGATTGAACAGTGCTGAGGAAAGTAGGAATAATAAATGTAGATCTCAGCGACGATAAATGGGAAGCCAATTTAATTTTTGGCTGAAGTATTGTTGTTTTGGTTCTTTCAAAGAACTAGAATTTATTTCTTACTCTCAGAGAAAACGTAAAAGCAGACTGAAACAGTGATGTATTCTTAATGTCTTGGAATACAGTACAGAGAATAATACAAATAGAATAATTACTTACGATTTTCACAAAAAATATGGTACGGTATAATTAACAAAATTAAATCAGTCAAGTGATTTGCCGTTCGCCTGGAATTTAATGCTACATGCACAAGCGATTCTGTTACCGACAACAACTACCGTTACTTGTCCCGACTCATGTTTTGCCACTCATTTGGAGTTGTTGGGAGTTGGGCGTCAGTCTATGATGAACTACCACTAAGCAGTTATTACTTTTTATTCTATTACATAGGACATATATTAATTATTGTCACAAAAAACGAGTAACGGAAAGTTGTGTTCTTACACACCCCAGCAAACATATTGAACATTAATCATACACAACAAATCCCCCACAGAAACAATATTAAATACAAAATGTCTACTCTGCAAACTTTCGTCTATCTATGGTTTCAAGATTTTTTCCGCGAAGTGCTTCACATAACCCAAGAATTAAGATAAAGTGTAGCGCTTATTAATGGCAACACTTGTAAAGTTTGTATACCTCTCCTCAATTTTATTTTGATTTATTAAAAGCATTGGTTTCCAAGTTAACTTCATGTAATATGTAATTGTATCCAACCATTTTATATATATTTCTATATCCTTTTACGACGCAATTCGGCATGTTTACTTCAAAAGGAGATTGCTCAAATTGGCCCAAATGCACAAAAAATATTGACATATACGGTAATTCTTGGCGTAATTTATACTTTATTTTACAGTCATTAGATTTTAAAGGACACCTTTGTATAATATATTCATTTTAAAAAGGACATTTAATTTTACCGGTTTGAAAAACATAGGTACGAATCATTTTTAATGACTATGGGTGTAGTGTAACATTCAGCCAAAGACTGATCGAAGTTGTTTATATAACATAAAATCAAATCTATTTTGTAAAGATCGATAAAATAAAACATTTTTTTTATTACACTGTGGTATTTATATCCACAACTATTTTATCATTTTCACTACATGCAAATGTGCTAAGACAATTTTTATAGATGGTAGTCGACATCATAAAGTCTATTGCCATACATTTTTCGCCAAACACCTCCATAAACACATTATAAGGTGTGATACACTAAAAATCTCAAATATGGTTCTAATGTAAACATAACAAAAATAATGAAGCTACTGAAGATATGGCAGTATAACCTAAATCTCTTAGCTTGCTATGGTTACCGAGAGTTTATAAATTCTCTGTAATCTGTGGTTCATTCACAATCATCACACAGTTTCTGTCACAGAGTACCTTCCTTATTATGACCGGAAATGCATAGATAATACTTGATTTTAAAAGTTACTCTTATGCATTAACTTTAAAAACAGGCAACTATCTTTTAATCTACATGCTCTATATAGCTGATTCTAATACATAATTTCGGTACTTGGCTAGGCCCTAGTTTACTATATAACTAATTAGTTTTTTAAAATTTTAATACCTATGTTCCTATTTGTTTCTTAGGTTTTCTCGCACATCACTCATTAAATAAAACTAGTTTTTTACGGGTTAATGCACGAAACTTTATTTATTTATTAACGTTCCGTAGCCTTTACAGGCTACGTCGTCAGAATCAAATTTTATTTAATTTTGTCGAGCTACCTTCGAAACGTCAATAAATAAATAAAATTTCGTGCATTAACCCGTAAAAAACTAGTTTTACCTATGTTCCTATTTGCAAACATAACCTACTCGTTTTGTTTGATGCGCCGCCATTGCTCGACTGACATATTTTGGCTTGATTTCGTTGTACCTGTGTGCGTGTATTTATGTACGTGGTTGTTCGCAGCGCTCCAGCACTGTATTTGAATGGTGTGTATATTTAAATTTTGGTTAGCAATATAAAGGTTATATTGAGTATTTATTTAAAAATCTACTTACGATTTAAAGAAAGATAAAGGGATAATTCTTTTTATAACCTAAGAGTCCATATTAAATATAAAAAATCTCTGCTTTATGTCAGTCTTCTGAACCAAACGCGGGAGCCGAGCGAGCGAAGCGAGCTTGCCACGGCAGCGGCAGGCTAAGCGTTAGAAAACAAAAGCTATGATGGAATGAGGGTTGTTATCTTTGCAAACAATATGAAATTTTTGGGGGGAAGAGGAGAGGGAGGGGTTACAGGGGTAGCAGGGTAATCCCCTACCACTTCCTTGCCATCCCCCCCTCCCCAGATACCGCCGCTTAAATCGACGGACCTTAATCTATATTTTTACCGTTTAGTATAATATTTTTGCTAGACTTATTTACTTACTAGATGAAACCTCGTGCTAAAATATGTCCCATGGGACAGAGACATGGTAGAGGAGTAAAGACTTACAATATTCACGCTCCTATTAATGTGACGGCCACCTTTCCGCCACGTGATCTGAGCGTCCGGCTTGGACCCTGAACTCCTGCAGTCGATCTCGTAGTTCCTATCAGCTGACAGATGAAATCTCATGCTAGAATGTGTCTAATGTGTAAAAGAATAAAGACTTACATTCTTCGCGCTCCTCTTAATCTGGCGACCACCTTTCCACCACGTGACCAGGGCGTCCGGCTTAGACCCCGTGCTCTTGCATTCGATCTCATAGTTCCTGTCCGCTGACAGTTGCCTGCTCTTGTTCAGGATCTGCACGGTCAGTGGCCTTACTGCAAAAAACTGAATTAGTGCTGACACGCAATAGTGAAGCTCAGAGCCATATTCAAAATGCATAATAGTGACATTGTTTCATAATTTGATAATAACATGAAGTTAGGGGTAGTACAGAAGATCGATAGCGCAGGTGGTAAGCGCATTCGGCCTGCGATCGTGAAAGTTAAGCAACTTTCGTAATGGTCGGTCATTGGATGGTTGACTAAAAACTCTTGTTCTACTCCGTGCTCCGGGAGGCACGTTTAGCCATTGTGCTCGGCTGCATCTGCAGTCGTTAGCATCCACCAATCCGCACTGGGCCCGCGTGGTAGGTTATAGCTCAATCGCCTTATTCGCCATAGGGAAAGCTTATGCCCCTGCAGTGGGGATATTAATAGGCTGATGATAATGACGACAGATATTGAGTTAGTCGAAAAGACTAAAAACTGCGGCCCTAATATGAGAACCATGACAAGAGAGAATATTTAACCGATCGCTTAGTATGGAAATCGTAATCTATGTCCGTGAAACAGTATTCCTCTATGCAAATTGAATAACTCCATCTCGGACTGAATAGTAATCCTATAATTGTTACTGTGTTAGCTACTCTACTGAAGCCGTATGGATTAGTCAAGCGAAGTGAAGTTGTCAACATGCATTAATAACAAAGCAAAGAGTTTCCAGGATCTAAATTCATTTAATCCAGGAAGTTCCTTTTTGTCTTGTTGTTAAACAGTAACTCTTATTAGCATTTGACTGAACTATGTATATTGTAAACTGTTTATCAAGAAATCTCTTTATTTTGTCATTTTAATTAAGTAGTAGCTTGTAATCGATCTTGCTGTAAGAATAATAAAAAAAATGTAAGAATTATAGGGAGGAACTCAGAGGCGTATTTGGTTAGCGCATTAAGACTGCAACTTTGACATTGGTCAGTCTTTGGATGGGTGATTAAAAACTTATTATTTCGAGCTTCTCCGTGCTTTGGAAGGCACGTTAGGCCGTTGGTCCCGGCTGCATCTGCAGTCGTTAGCACCCAACAATTCGCACTGGGCTATTTCCTACATGGTGAAAGCATATGCTCCAGCAGTTAGAACATTAATTGGCTGATGATGATGAAGAATTATAGTAAATAGCGGGATTGCTACCATGTATTTTTGCGAGTTCTGGAACTCCCTGATATGTCACCACACACGGATTGTAAACATCGGGGACTCGCGAAAAAACCAAGGTCGCTAAGTATATGGTAGCAATACCGCTGCTTACAATTTAGAAACCATGAAAGTTTATAACAATAATTCTAAGTAAGAAGCTCTCACAATTGATGTCCAATATGAGCAGCTTAGTCTCCGGTGGTGCAAGGTTAGTATTCGACGCTTGGCAGACCAGGCGAGCGTTGAGATGCTGTCTGCCCACGCTGGGAAAGGTGAGGGTGTTGGAAGTAATCCCATCGGCTCTCTGGTCAAACGAGTCGTCGATGACCGTGTTTTCTAAGTACCAAGTCACGCGAGGTCTTGGGTCTCCTTAAACAAAATTGTGATTGTGAGTAATGCAAGAACAATGACGATGATAAAATTGGTGTTTTAAAAATCAGTACGAGGTATTTTGTTGTTTTTTGTTATAGGATCACCATCTCCTTTAATAACAAGTCCATAGCCGTCACAGTCATGAGACTTTTTTTGGCTTTTTGGGTTTGGATTCCAAACTTTTTTTTGTGTGGTAATGTGGATGATATGTCACATAAATTAATATCATGAGAGCGTGAAAAATCAGAATGCACCAGCTGCTTGTTATTCAGTGTATATAATAAAAGCTTATTATATTTTTATTTTTTTAAGCATTTGACTGCTAGATATATAAATCTAACGAAAAAACATACTAGAAAAAATCCACGCTTTGGTGCTGCCTTGCAGCCTTAGAAATACTAGAAGAAATTCGACACAGACATTAAGGTCATGGTGGCATAATTGGTCAGGGCATTGGTCCGGATAGCGACAGGTCCCGTCTGCTTCCTGCACCTCGTGGAATTTTTTGTCTGTACTCTACACCACTTTACAACTGCATCACATTTAGGTAATGTTTATGGAAATACTAATAACATTTACCCCCGAAAACTTCACACACGAGTTCCAGAGTATCACCTTCATTGTATGGCTCCAGAAGTCGCATCTGATCCCTAGTCTTTGCGTCCATGATGATCGGCCGGTTAGGCGGTGCTGTAACAAAGATAAACATGATATAAGTTCAAACAAATGGAAATAATGCCACTTTTCTAAATCCACACGGGCTCTGCAATAAAATTTTAAAATGATCTCCCCTACACGGTATTCCGTTAGTGATATGGCATGGTCGTCTTCAAACTAGGCCTAAAAAGAATGTTCCACGAACCGCAGCAGCACGGCTGTGACACTGAAATTGCTAAATTTGTTGATGTCCATGGGTGACTGTGACCACATAACGTTAGGTGGCCCGTCTATTCGCTTTCAAATGCAAAAGAAAAAATATATTTATATTTCGTTAATTCAAAACTTGCTTAACCGTCTGTCATTATGATTACCGATAGAAAATCATATTTGAAACACCTTATCAGTTCATTAGAATACGTAATGCTCAAGCAAAATAAATTATATAAATGAAAACAATTTTTATGACCTAAAAAGTTTTTTCAATTATAAAAATTAATGACATGTTTTAACTTATCCTATAATAATTATGATAAATGTATCTTTTTAATTTTTTTTTTTTTTTATATCTGACATTTAGAAATCTTGTAATATTAATATGTTGACATTGTATATTTTATTGACATAATATTAGGTAACTCTGACATTCATAATTCTGACATAATATTAGGTAACTCTGACATTCATAATTCTACAGAAAAATGTTATAATTAATTAATCTCTTTTTTTTATTGGTTCCATATTATGTATTTGCATGCTATTTTTAAAATGGCAAAACACGTGCTCAAACCGTTGTGTAATACCTATATACCGTGTTTTTAGCAAATAAAGATTATGATTTATGATTTATGATTTTAAAGTATTATAATCTTTCACCACGAAGTTTTGAAGATTTTACGCAACACGCCTCGGTCGGCATCCGTTTTTATTATAACAATGAAAAACTTTTACGGAATAAGTGCTTAATTTCGTACGCCCTTCTTTTTAATTTTGAAAGAATTATAAAAATACTTTACGACTGGCAATGCTATTTGAGGAAGAAAGTAATAAGTTGTACGAATTTGACTAAGAGCTTGACGAATCTTTGGAGAAAAATAAAACATTAAAGTTTTTTCTGTAAGATAAGAGCGTTTATGAATGGCTAATAACTGGCCCTGTCTTAGTGTAGATCATATTGTTATTTCTCTTGCTTACATAGGGAGTTTTAACAAAGATACCGTTTTTGAAGACACTCAAAGTAGTCACAGAAGGAACAGGTGAATGGGCGGTGACAAGACAACTGCTGGATGCAGGGAGGGCAACATAGTCTGCGTTGGTGATTATATAGGTAAGCTTATGGTTAACTAATTCATAACCATTGTCCGGTGGTCTGTGGAAGTTCTATGCGAATCCTAGTTAAATGAGAAGAATTTTTTAAAACCCTCCTTACGCATCGTTTGAACATCGCAGATTTTTTTACGCTCCGTGCAGAAAATACTTTATTTATTATATTTACAAGTATGAACGATTACTTTGTACTTATTTTAATTGAAGCACATTCTTATGATTCTCGTCCCGAATTTCGTTTAGGATTCCACCATGATGTGAATTTTAATTTATCCCTGGTGCGAGCATTGACCGAACATCTGTTGACATTTATAAAGAAGGAACTTTGGGCGAAATGTGTTCCAGCGTTTCCGAGGGCGACTACCTGAGCCATCATTCCAAGTCCCAGGTCGCTTTCTGTACGTGTTAGTTATTATGGGAGAATATATACTTTTGTAGGTGTTAGCTTTATTAGCTTGTCGCTAAGTTTGCCACTTCATCCACTTGAACATTGGATAAGGGCGAAGTTATTCTAAATTGGAAAGTAAAAAAATATACGCTTTGAGTTATTTTGCGTTGTGCATTTTGTTTGGTCATATTATTCCAACGACGGCTGCATTGTCTTAATAGATTTTAATGACCTATACATTTACAGTGAAATATCCTTTTAACGCGACTGTCCTGGATTAGTTTATTGAAGTGAAAACTTCTTTAACACCCTTGTGATTTGAAACTCGATGAAACGAAAATTGAACAGTATACAGTACAGAAGGTACCTGTAACTTCGTAACTCTCTGCAAGAGACAGATAGCGGAACGGTAATGGTCTTGGGGTCGACACCAAATGAGTGTGTGTGGTTCGATCCTGAGCTCGGGTATTTTTTCTTATATTAAGCTATTATTTATTTTTCGAAACAATTTAAGTATAGAATATTTAATTTTGCCCAGTATTTTGCAATATCTAAATAGTTAAGAATGAATCGTTTGGATATGCCTAAGTTGTTTATTAATACAGGCTTGATTTTTATCAACAATCCTTATCTTCCCAATGTTTGCATTTTTTCTACAGTAATATTTTCTAAATAAATTTTTCGAAAAACACATGAGAAAAGAAAAACATGACAAAAGAAATGAAATAAAAATAATATTACACACATCAAAAGTGTCTAGGGATCAACATATATTTTTGCAATAACTTTTCTCCTGATTGATATTAATTAAAATTTTCTTTAAGGATTCATCAAATAAAGTGTTTTCGTTTGTCACAGTAACGATAAACCAAGTCACCTTTGCATTAATAAAGAAATTTGCCATTTTCCTAATAAAGGGATTTTTGACATTTGAACCACTAACACAAAAGTTCGAAAAAAGACTGAAATAACAGTTTTCTCTAAAATTTTATTGGGTAAC